CAAAGGGGAAAAATGCAATAAAAACTCCGGCCCGATACAGAATGGGAGTGCGGTTAAAAGCAACGAACGAATATGGTTGGGAACATCCGCCGCAGACAAAAGTTGGACTACTTGGCTATGCAAATTATATTTGCGGACGCCGCGCCGCGACCGATCTCGCCGCTGCGCCGTTCCGTTTCACCTTACGTACGAGTATATACCGTGTATTCTTTTCATATTTTCATCCGATTTCCTTCCCCTCGTTCATTTTGTTCCGTTTTTAAAAAGTCACGGAACAATGCCGCTTTCCGCGGGGCTCGGTCGCCGCGAGCCGTTTTCTTGCACGCGCCTTCTTTTTCTTATTATTATATCTATCTTTTATACGTATCCAGTTCTTTTCTTTAATACTTTCAGCTCATAAATGGCTGATACGGCCCCCTAGGGTTTGCGCTACGAATAACATGTAAATGAGTCGGTGTGCTTGTACAAATTTAAATTCCGATCCCTCTAATGTGGTTTGCAATTTCATTTTTTTAATATTTGTCCGTTTCAAAAAGGAGGTATGGTAATAAGTTTTCTTGTTGCTCCGTCAGATGTCTCCACAGATAAACTATAGATGATCGCCAGATACTGCATTATGTATCGATGAGCGTTGAACGATAGCAGTTAAACATTCAAATTGCTGTTTTTAGTGCTGATAATTAGATAGGTACTTTATACGGGACGACTTTTATTTTAGCCCCTGAGGTGTAACGACTGGATTTTTTATCAATAATGAAAGGCGAGATGTTTTTTATGCCCCTTCCGATTATGTCTGCCTCACTGTTACTTTGTTGTTTTATCGAGAAACCATAAAAGTTTACAGAATCAATTGGCTCGGTTATAAACAGGTCTTTGATTAGTTCAGTGGCGATTCGTGCGTTGTGTTGTCGTACTACGTATAGAAGATATTAATTCTTTAATACCTCAAACAATAAAGAAAACAACGGGATACACAAATATCAACTTGATGAAAAACAATATTTGAATAAAAAAGATCGTGCAATATGCTACTTTGCCTTATGATTCAATTTTAAAACAATCTCAACTTGTAATTGTGACGAATCAATAGAATGTTCTGAAGCCATCGCTTCTCCTCTCAGTAGTTTAATAAAACGTAAATATGAATCGACATTTATGACAAGCGCTCCCCTCTTGGTGGCGGCCGCGCCATTTAGATAAGTCTTTTTTATAGTTCTTTATTGAAAATAAATTGCCTAGAATAAAATCAGACACAGTCGGAATGGCTTTCCGATAGTTGTGTATGAAATAATGCGCTGGGAGATAAGATGCATCGCTTATCTGAGCGTATGTTCTCGCGCCGGAGGGATGTGGATCCATTCCGCAATGACACAGCGGATTGTCGAAACCCTGATGTTTGAAGTCATAATCTATTTGAATTATATTTTTCACTTTTCTACTTCATACGAGGTCCAGAAAAAAGCAAGAGTTGTCTTTGATCAAGATTGTTTTTGTATTGCCAAATTTAATGAAAGAATTAAGAGAAATCTAAAGAATAAAGAAAGAACTAAACTGAGAATAAAATTACATACATAGAGTAATAAAAACACTTAATGACAGTCCACAAATAAAGCATAGTCCCATAAGTATCGCCAATGTACGATATAAGTCCGTTGACAGTCGTTTAGCCGTTTTATCTATTTCCTCTGTTTTATTTGGGCCGGCGCAAAATTTATGAGGCGAGTGGGTCCTGCGATAAACATTTTCCTTAAAATTGTACGGATTATTGTTCTTGTCGGACGAATGGGGGATTTAAGTTATGAGCTACGAGTGACCTTTGCTACGGACTTGCTATACACTGGCGATGGTAGGCGGTTGCGGTATAAATCTTTTGACTTGGGAATGTTTTGCTTTTGAGTTGAGAGTAAGCTGTCGATGATTTAAATATATCCAGAAATAGAAATGTCTTTTTTTTAGTTCTATGTGTATATAGTTTTACTAAACAAAAATTAAAACAAACTTACACATTCATTACTAATAATTGAGGCGTTCTTTACAAAAGTGCAGTGCT